AACGTAGGGTGACCTAAACGTTGATGCCAAGAAGAGGATGAGGCTTTGACAATTTAAAAAGCTAAAATAGGTGGGGTGGTCAGTTGATTTGAAAGAGACCATGATGCCAAGAAGAGGATGAGGCTTTGACAATTTAAAAAGCTAAAATAGGTGGGGTGGTCAGTTGATTTGAAAGAGACCATTCATAAACTCCATCCTTCATAGCTCCCTGGTGTAAAATTGTTTTTGTGCATAAATCCTTCACTTGAAAATGTTTAGGGAAAAGTTCAACAGAAACATTATTAGTGGAGCAAAATTGAGAAATGGAGATTTAGTTTTTCTTTATGGAAGGGACACAAAGAATATTATCTAATTGGAAAGTTGAGTTTGAGGTGGGTAAAGAAACAGAACCAGTGTGGCTTATAGGTAAACATGTGCCATCTCCAATCGTGACCTCATCTGATCCTTGATAAGGTGAGTGTAAAGCAAGATTGCTCAAGTCAGCAGTAGTATGGTGACTCGCTGCACTATCTAATAGCCAACTTTGATTATTGTTGGTTATAACTACTGCATTTGCTTGAGGCTTCCATGAATGTCCTTGTTTATTTTGTGATGCAGGAAGAGAGTTAACGTGGTTTGGAATCAATCGGAAAGAGAAACAACGTTTTGCAGTGTGACCTTGAATGCCACACAATTGTTTTGCAGTGTGACCTTGAATGCCACACAATTGACAGTAGCCAAGATAGGGTCTAGGGGTTCTATTGTTTCGATTGGAGTAGGATCGGTTGTTTGGATAGTTATTGATGTTGTTGGTGGATCGGTAATTGGGTTGATTGCAGTTGTTGGTGATTGTATTGGTGGCTACGTTGGCTGTTGCGGGGAAGTGAGATGATTCAGTATTCGCATTGGTGATTTCAAAGGTGAGAAGTTTTTCATGAAGTTCTTCAAAAGTGATGGATGATTCTCGAGCTTGAATGGCTCGAGCAAGTTCTCTATAAGCATCACCTAAACCTGCAAAAACAATGTTAGTAACATCTTCAATTGTGGGTCCCGTATATCTATGGCACAATCCAAGAGGGGGGGTGAATTGGGTTTTCTAAAAAAAAATAAAAATTTTAGCTTTAAAAACAAAATTCAGAATTCTAAGTGCAGCGAAAAAATTAATGAACTTGTGAAATAAGTTATAGATTAGAACTTCCTCATAATGTTCTATTCAGGAAAAATAGAAAGACTATGCAAAGTGCAGCTATTAGTTAGAACTTTAGTTTAGGAACTGCTTCACATGTCTTATCTATCCAAATATCAGAACTAACTTTATGATGGAAAAACTATTGTAAATTAGAATTCCTCATAAAGCTTTTATGCAAATCAGAAAAGACTTGTGTGAGAGCAGTTATCGGAGATCAAAAACTGCTTCATAAAGCTTTAATGCAAGTTTTAGAAGATTTGATTAGGAAACCCAAATAGTTGAACATATACTGAAATAAAAGAATGTTTAGAACTTGGTATGCTTTCACTTTACGCAGAATTTCCAGAGTGTCTAATGTTCAAGAGAGATAAGATTTATTTCAAGATTTTAAGAACATCAAGACCATGTCACAACTATAGCAATTTCTAGAGTAATAAACAGAAGTGTGAGTAAAATAGTATCAAGCAAAACTTGCAACTAATTAAAAAGATTAAAACACAGATTATAGTGGTTCTGCACTAACATCGCCTACGATCCACTCCCTAAGACTCATGCTTGAGAATCCTTCAACTATTTTATCTCTTTCAAGGGGTAAGAGACAAAACCAAACAGTACAGAGGCCAATAGATCAAATACATAAGATCTACCCTTTTTCCACTAGATTGTTCCAAAGGTTCTAGTTACGACCTCAAACCATTCTCTTTGGCAGAGTACAGAAACTCAATTCAAGATCATTAGATATCCTCTCATGAGAAGCGGGTTGCTTGATAACCTCTTTCACAACAATAGCTTCTCACCTAAGCTATTACACAAATGTTTATCAAATAAAAACGTGTATACTAAAGATTACAGAATCTAAATAGACAGACAGAAATGCAAATACAAACACAGGAAAAACAGTTTTTCAGATTAGAAAATCGTTTAGAAAACAGAACTGTGTTTCGAAAGAAGTTGTTAAAAAAAAAATTCTTTTCTCTTTTACAGATAAAAGCATAAAGTATAAAGATGAAAAAAAATAAGGGGGTAGAGAGTAAGTTTTGAGAGATAAAAGATATGATCAATAGGTAAGTGCTCTTAAAACGATAACTCTTTCTTCCACGTTTTTCAAGAATGAAAACGCCTTTTTATAGAGAGGTCTGTGATTCTCATTTTTAGAAAGTGAAAATTTCTTTTCCAAATCAGTTAGAAAGTGAAAATTTCTTTTCCAAATCAGAATATTTGCTTTCCTTATTTAGAAGATACGGAAATCTTAGTTACCAAAAAGTCAATCATTTTATCCTTTTGGCAAGTAAATAAAAGACGATCTTTCTTTCCTTTAAAAATAAAGATTTTCAAAAGCAATTATTTGAAAAATGTTTTTCAAAAAGATTATACTTACTAAAACGAATTAAAATAAGATCTTTCTTCATTTTAGGTAAGAAGATAAATCAAGATTCTTAAATCTTCAAAAAGGTTTTGTTTCTGAAATTGAAATGTATTAGGTCTTTATTCGACTGAAATTGAAATGTATTAGGTCTTTATTCGATTTATTTTTATTACGAAAATTGTTAGAAACAAGGTCTCTTTAATTTAGGTAATTCGAATATTTCGAATCTTTAAGAGAATTCGAAAAACAATTTTTAACGAAAAGATTTATTTTGAATAATCTATTTTTCGAAAAATAATTTTGATGAGAGAAATATTAGTTTTTGTCCTTATAATTGAATTTTCTCTCTATCCTACAGTAAATCCTAAAAGTCTAACCCCTAGGGTCTACGGATGTCTTCGTAAACTTTGGATTTGTAGGACTTGTCATGTTCGTTTATTACTTTCCATATGTACCCTGCATAAAAATATTATTAGCACAAATAATATACTTTAAATTTATTTGTTTTGAATTTATTTGTTTTGTTTTAATCATCAAAATTCTGAGATTAGAATTTGACCCTTGAGCCAACATCAATATCCATTGGAGAACCCAATGTGGCAAGCTCATCTACTCGAGATTTAATGGTACGTAAGAAATCTTTTATTGTCATGGAGCCTTTGGTCAAGGATTATATTTGTGTCTTGAAGTGTTTGATCCGTCCTCTGGATGGTTTGGCATAGGTGGTGGCTAATATATCCTAAGCTTCTTTGGCGGTAGCCGAAATGGCGATGAAAGGTATAATGTTGGGAGAGTGGGAGCCAACTATGGCATTGAGAATTAGCTAATCTTGTCTAATCCAAGATTGGTGAGATGGGTTGGGAGTGATATCATCATTAGTTGTTGTTGTTGATGGAGGGCAAGGTTTGGATCCATTGATATAACCAAGAAGATCATATCCAATAAGAAGGGTTTGAAATTGAAGTTTCCATGAAGGATAATTGCTGCTTGTTAATTTGATTAGTGTTTATATGGCAGTGTTAATGATGATTAAATTGGTTGAGGGGTCGGTACAATTTTGCACGCCATTATTGTTGCTGCTGTTAGCCATTGTGAGCGGAAAGGGGAAAAGAGAAGAAAAAAAAAAAGGATTAGTAGCTATTGTGCTCTGATACCATGTAGAATATCAGTTGAGACAGAAGAGAGTTTGAAAGAGAGAATACTTTTCTCATTGATAGTGTATCAATATATACAGCGGAAGCTAAAACTATTTACCTACAAAATCTCTAGCTCTTACAACTAAGTCTAATTATACAATTCAAAATACAAACAATGGATACTATGAATTCAAAATACAAAGTGTACAGCGTACAGCAGGATGAAGAATGATTCTTAAAATATCATTGCCAACACAAAGTATGTACAAAAATGAAAGTTACCTACAAAATCTCTAGCTCTTACAACTAAGTCTAATTATACAATTCAAAATACAAACAATGGATACTATGAATTCAAAATACAAAGTGTACAGCAGGATGAAGAATGATTTAAAATATCTTTGCCAACACAAAGTATGTACAAAAATGAAAAGGAACCATAATGAGATATAATAGGATCAGAATTAGATATAAATTAGATACATAATTAGATATACTAAGATCATAATCAGATAAATTAGGATCAAAATTATATACACTAGGATCCGATTCAGATATTAATATCAAAATCAAATTTTATTCTAACACATAATACAGTATAAGTAAAAGTATAATTAAAAATATTTTTAGCGTAAGAAAAAAGTAAAAATATTTTTAATAATATTTTATTATAGTTCACAAGAGTAGTCTTAGTTTGCTCCCTGGATGCTAAAGTGGAATGCAATGTTAGTTTTTAACGATTTTTCACGAAATATCAATTAAGAAATACTTTTGCTAAAGTAGAAAAATTAATAAGTTATCCTAGTATTTGGACGAGGGAATTTTAGATTTTGGATATTTAGAAACTTTTAAAACTTGTTTTCAATTTTTAAATAGTTTTTATTTTTTTGGAAAGAATAATAATTTTTTATTTTGATAATTGATTAAATTTAATTTTAATTAAATCCATTAATATAATAATAATAGTAATAGTAATAATAATAATAATACAAAGAACAACAATAAAAAAATTTCTATGTTATTAAATCAACTTGAGATTATATTTTTCTACAAAAGATTTAAAAATATTATTAACAATTGTCCCCCATCACTTTCTCCCCCATCCAAACAAGTGAGTGAAAACATATATTACACCCACCTATCTTCACCTCATTTACACCCCCTCTCATTTTTTTGTTTGCCAAACAAGGTGTAAAATCCAACCTCAAAGGCAACAATAATATGCTCAACATAAAAGTAGCCGTGCAATCTAGGCTCTTAGAAGGTGACGTGTCATGATTTATTTGGCTCTCATCACCAACTGTATAATTGACCTCTGCCGTGATTTGGATAAATACTATCGGCAAACCCGCGGTTTTGCAGTTACATCTCTCTCTCTCTCTCTCTCGCTCGCTAAACCAAATCTCTGAAAAAGAACTCTCTCCCTCCTTCCTCTACTGCAATTTGCTTCTTAACTTGTTCTTTGAAATGAAGGTAAAATGAAAGAAAGAAGATGCCAAACTGAAACGTCCAACGTATTGATTAAAATTTCTCCTCTCAGTCATTCAGGTTTGGTTGATGGTCACTTACTATCTTCTATCCTTCTTTGGTTATGGGAGCATGAGCTTTTTGCATAGTTTTTGGGGCCCTCACCGGTTCATTTTCCGATAAATAACTTATCTGAGAAACATTTTTCGGATTTCCTGACGTTTACTATGCTTATGAAAATCAGTTAACAAAGGAAACTAAAACAATGTTTTCTCAAAATTTCATGACCTTAGCTTTGTCTAACAATATGCTAATTTCATTTTCTTTATCTGATCATTATTAGTTCTCCTTAAAAGAAAATAAAATATGTTCTTGCAATGGTGCTGTAAACGACTGGCCGTATCATGCATTCTGCTTGTTTTATTTACTTTAATATCCTATCTTTTCATATTTTTCTGATTGTGAATTATTTTAATGAAGCTAAAATTATACCCTGGAAATGGGGAAGAAAGGAGGTGGTTGGTTCTCATCAGTGAAGAAAGTGTTCAAGTCATCTTCTAATAATAAGGAATTACCAGAAAAAAAGGTAATTGAAATTCCAAAACTTTGTTTTATATTTGTTTATTAAATGGTTAAAAAAGTTGTTAGAGCACTAATGCTTTAGTCATTAGCAATATTCAAGAGTCCTGAACCACCGCTTGTTTGACTTTTTACACCTATTAAAGTTACACGCAATTATCATATAACTTCTTTCTGGTTGTGTATCTATCCATCAAAATTTTGTTGTGCATCAAATTCAATTTTTAATTTCCTCAAAAGGGTCTTATAGAAATCCGAATAATTTGTGAAGAATAATGAATTGTAATTGATTTCTTTAACGTATTTGTAGGCAAGTAGTTGATATGTTCTTTCATGGAGGGTCTAAAATTTTAGACGTATTGATCTGTCCAATAGGAAACAAGCATTACATCCATTCTTTTCCTTTTTTTATGTCTTCATCTTAAAAAGCATACTCCCACGGCCATAACCCCATGGACTAAATAAATGAAACTAAAAATTCTTTATAAATTATTCGGACCTCACCTTTTTTTTTTTTCCTCAGTATATAGTCAAAAATTTCTTCGTTTCAATAAAGATCGTTAATTTCATTAATTTAATATATAAATAGGGTCATGGACCCGATCCAAGTAAGTTTTTCCATATTTTATCAATTATAATAAATGCGGAATTTAAGATGAATTTACAAATTAAGCTAATGTGGAAAGAAAACATTATATTCTTACTAATTGGATTGACACGTTAGTACATTAATATTCTATCAAATCTCTTAAAATTATTATAAAAAATACAATAATATATGAATTTAATGAATTTGAATAGTAGTTCAATAATATTCAATTTGTTTTGAAAATTTCAAGTCTCCATTTAAAGGAATAGCTAATGAGTAGTAATTGAGATTTTTTAATTTTTAGTGAGGGAAAATATACTGAGTAGAGATGTTGATTTGATTTTTATGATTTATAGTTTAATTGATCTCACTGGAAATTAAGCAATTCAATTAGGAGATGTATATGCGAAGAGGGCAATTTAATTTCTCCAATGCAATCCCTGTGACTCTTTCTTGTGCAGAGGCATCCACACGTGAATCTCTTTCTTCTTTTTCCTCTTAGCTACTTCTGGTTCTTGTGATTATGAAGATCTACGTGTTGAGCTGATACGGCAACATTATTAAAGATGACCTGCCCTTTTACTCTATATATTTATTAGGACCATGAATTAAAAGAAGAGGCACTAAATTGGTCCCCCAATCAACATGACCCTCACAAAAATACACACCTTGACATATTATTATCATGCCACCGATGCTATCACATCATATTGACCAACACATGTGCTTTGCTTTTGTTAGATCCCTATCATCCCAAAATTTTCTGCCTTCTCGTTTAAAAAATAAGGCAAAACCCCAAAATTCCAAGAAAGATCACGTATTAATTATTGATATTCATTCTAGTCATTAATTAATAATTGACAATCTAATTCGTCGTTAACGTATTAATAGTATAGTGCAGCTCAATTTGTGTCGTAAGCTCCATGCCGAGAGTATGATTCGCCTAAATGAAAATTAAGTCGGTTAAAGTTAAATATTTATAGGTTCGTATCATAAATAAATGATATGTAAATAACATGAATTTAAACGAGTCGGATCAGGTTATATAACCAATAGAGTTTACAATTAATAGTTTGTGTTGTAAACTGCATAATGCATTACAGAGTTTATTTAACAGTTATCCAAGTAGAATGTAGCATTTATTTTAAGTTTATATGTAGTGTTCAATGATTTATATATTTCAGAAAGACAATGTACAAAAATGGCAACATGAGGCCCCAGAAGTTGTATCATTTGAACATTTTCCAGCAGAGAGTTCTCCAGATTTAACTAATGAAGAAAGCAGAGCATCAACTGCAGTGAGTGAAGATAGAAATCATGCGATTGCAGTTGCAGTGGCAACGGCGGCAGCAGCAGAAGCAGCGGTTGCAGCCGCACAAGCAGCAGCTAAAGTTGTTAGATTGGCTGGCTATGGACGTCACTCCAAGGAAGAGAGAGCTGCTACCCTCATACAGTCATATTATAGGGGCTATCTTGTAACTTCTCTCTCCCTCTCTCTCATATAAGTAACACACACATGCACCTATTATAACTTACCTTTTTCTCAATTTCAGTAACAGTGCCCCCACTATAATGGTATTTGCCTCCAGGGGCGGATTTAGAAAATTAAATTAATAGGAGCAACGTATAAAAGTAATAATTTAGTGGAGATAAAATGTAAAAATTCAGTGGAATAAATACAAATTAACATAATTATATCTACTAAAATGTAAAAAATTATAAACTGAACTGTAAAAAGCCAGTGGGGAAAGTGCCCCCATTACCCTTTGTAGATCCGCCCCTGTTTGCCTTGCCATGGAGGCCATTCGAACTATAAAGATTCGTTGCACATGTATCGTGCCCTTAATTAGTAGTCTCTCTTCATTTTTTTATTAATTTTTTTTATTTAATGTGAGTCTCAATAGACCAATAAAATATTGTATGCTATATATCAAGGATAGCCCTCCCTAAAGTAGTGAAAAGTCTTGTAGTTAAAAGGTCTCCAATAGAACTTAACACCTCTGATCCCACATAAATGAAAAGACCGCAGTATGACTTTATATTTCTTTCTTGATTATAAAAGGATTTCTAAAACTTATATGAGCACAATACATAAAAGGATTTTAAAAATATTATGAACGTTTTATGTTTTTTTTCACCTTCAATTATTGGTTACACATACCCTGGTTATAAATAAAAATTTACTTTTCTAGTTTGGAGTGTGAGGTAAGTCCATACACTGGTTATATGCTGTCACCCTTCTAATTTTTACACTTAGATCTTAAAATTGGGTTTTAGATTTCTAATATGGTATCAGGTGACCTTCCTTCTTTGTTATAAAATTCACCTGTAGTTGCTTATAATTGGAAAAACTACTTAAAAAGTTCCATTTTCATTAGAAATTTCTGTCATATATTTTGCAGGCCCGGCGTGCCTTGCGTGCATTGAAGGGACTAGTGAGGCTACAAGCACTAGTGAGAGGACATAATGTACGCAAGCAAGCACAGATGACTATGAGGTGCATGCAAGCACTAGTACGCGTCCAGGCAAGAGTTAGAGCACGCAGACTGCAGTTGACTCACGAGAAGCTCCAGAAGAAGGTTGATGAATATCACGAAGAGGAATATCAAGAAGACGAAGAAGAAGAAGAAGAAGAAGTAGAAGAAGAACATAGACCAAGAAGATCATCCGTGGATGAAAGAATAAATATGAAGAGCCCATTGAAGAGCTATACAGTTGAAAGCTGGGATCACAGACGTCAAAGTTCAGACAGAAATAAGGAAAATGCTTCTAGGAAGCATGATGGTGTCTTGAAGAGGGAGAGAGCCCTTGCTTATGCTTATGCCTATCAGGTCAGTACGTAAGCTATATATTATATACAAATGATAAAATTTAATTTAGTTGTGTTGAAATATATGGGAGGGATTCGGTTGGTTCAGTTTTAAACTAAATCAATAGAAATATTTTAAGATGAAAAGCAAATTGAACCTATAAATTTGGAAAAAAAATTTGCCTAGACATGGAACATGCCCTATTTATGGACCAATCAAATGAAATCAAGGATTCTCTAAAAAGTATTTTGATTTTATTTTATTTTTTTCAAAGTGTATGGTCAGAAATATCTCGTTTCAACTAGAATACTGAATTTCATTAGTTTGGTCCATAGGTAGAGATATGAATCGAGTGTAAATAAGTTTTTCTCATATATTCAGATCAAATCAAAATAATTTAATTTTATTGGTTCAATTTAAACTATAGCTATTTTTAGGCAAGTTGGGTTTATTTTTTTTGGAATTAATAAAAACTAGAAAATTATAAACATGTCTCCACATAGAATTTCAAAATTAACTCTTTCTATTTTGATTCGGGTATTCTATAATGTAGTTCAATTCAATTTAGCCAATTTTGGGCGTTGAATGGGTAGGAAAAGACACAAAAGCCCCTTAGAATTGCAGCCTCAATACCCTTGCTCCCCATTATCACAACACTCAATTTAAACTTTAGCCATTTTTAGGCAAATTGGGTTTATTTTTTCTGGGATTAATAAAAACTACCTCTTATGAATAAACCTCTGGATTTTTCTTTTTTTGTTTCTAATAAAATCAAAACCCAACAAAACCGATTTGGTTCAGTCAATTTTTAAGAATGAAATGAATATTTCCATTTGTGCCACCAAATATGAAACATAGAATACCAAATGAATTTTATAAAATTTTGTGATGAAACATAGAATACCAAATGAATTTTATAAAATTTTGTGAAATTCATTTATATAAAGAAGATTATTTGGATCACTATTGTTAATCAACAGCGACTTCAACAAAACCAACAGCTTTTGCAATCAGAACCTAGTGGTGAAGAGATGGGATTTTATGCTAACGAACGAGAGAAGAAACAATGGGGCTGGAATTGGCTAGAACGTTGGATGTCATCACAACCATACCATGCACGTCACTTGGGGCCAAACGAAATGTCGTATATGACACTAACTACCACAACCACCACAGACGACATGTCAGAGAAAACAGTAGAGATGGATGTAGTTACTCCACCAGGAGGCAACAATAGTACTACTACTAATCCATACTCAACCAAGCATCAAAGGCAATCAAGTTTAAACAGCTACATTCCTAGTTATATGGCTCCAACCCAATCTGCCAAGGCCAAGGTACGTAGTTATCAGGCCACAGTTAAGCTCCAGCAGCAACAACATGGGCTATTTGTGCCCCAGTGGAACTCATCCACAAAGAAAGGATCAGTTGGTGGTGGGTCTGGTTGTGACTCTTCAAGTTCAGGTGGAGGAGGAGCTTCTTACATGGCTCCAAGGAGTCCAAACCCAAAGAACAATGGTGGGTTGCGCCTGCAATCTAGACGTATTGGTGGATTTAGCCCAGATTCTAACAATGGTGCTAGTGAGGATTGGAGATTATCTCCCCTTGATGCTCATGGTTGGAGGCATGATTTTAGTTGATGGAGTTTTATGAATATCTATGATCATGTTTATATGCATGCATAATTGCATAATTTATATTTTCTGGATCGATGTTTGCCATTTGTGATGTCATAAATCGCACCTACATTCATTTGTTGGGTGAAACTATCTACATGAGGAGTTAATATGCTCTTATCTGTTGATGTGTTAAATTGGCACTAGCCCTACTACCATTAAGTAATTATTTGAGTTATGTGTTTGTTTTTCTTTTTTTTTTTTGGATAAAAAAGGAAGAAATATACAAATATTACGTGGTAGTAATTAGCTACTTATACACTGAGGACTTTCACAAAAAATTGTGCCTGTCAAAGGGAGAATCCCTCTAAAATGAGCCATTCAATTTGTACAGTTTAATTCCTTCCTTGTAAATATAGCACATCTAATTAAAAACTCAACCTATAAAAATATCCTGAATTTTGTGTGTTGTTGCAGTATCATTCTAAAATGATCTATGTTCCCTTGACATTCCAATTTTATAACTTAAATATATTGTCACCCTAATTTAAAATTCAACTAGGGTTTATAATATAATAATATAAAAACGAAATCCACCAAACCAATTTGAGTTAACTTAACCTAAGCTCCTAAACTTTATGGAACGCATCATTTTGATCTTGAAAAACAAAATCCCTAATTTTGTTTGCAGCTCCATCGAACTACTTTCCTATCCCTCAACAAGTTTCCTCTTCCTCATTCTCCTTCTCTCTTTGATACTGTCGTCTATCCTAAACTCACTGTAGCACATCAGCAGATGAGCTTATGAGCTTTGAGTTGCAGTAGGCCACCAGTAATTCTTCTTTGAAATTTAATTGGCTTTTTCCTTTCTCTATTTGAGCTTTTATATTTGCTGTGGCGTGCCCACTCAAGTGGGACCCATAAATTCTTTGTTGGTAGTGTCGGTACCTAGTTGCAGTAGGCACCAGTATTTCTTTCTTTGAAAATTAATTGGCTTTTTCCTTTCTCTATTGAGCTTTATATTTGCTGGTGGCGTGGCCCACTAAGTGGGACCCATAATTCTTGTTGTAGTGTCCGGGTACTATCAAGTAGGACTTCACAAGCTTACCCAAATTCTTTGGTTGGTGGTGTCGGTGCCCTACTCGAGTAAGGACTCACATACATGCTTAAATTTAAAAAAAAAAAAAAAATAGTAGAAAACGCGTTTTAAACGCGTCTACCTCTCCTATCAATAGGAGAGGATTTTCTTCATTTCAAACATACCAACAAAACGCAAGAGAAGAATTAGAGAGTTCAGTTTTAAGAAGTATTTTTAAAACTAAGGGTTTAGAAAATAATGAAGATTATTAGGGTATTTTTGGGAAACACTTGTGAGTGCCACTATTTTGTATTACTCTCTTTGTAAGCCTACTAATTTTTAATAGTGGAAGAAAAATATTCGGAGTTGGTCCCGTGGACGTAGCCCTAAACAGTTGAGGGTGAACCACGTAAATTTCTATGTGTCTAATTTCTATTGTGTCCCATTTTTCTATTTTTCCGCTGCTTTAATTAATTCTCGTATTTTTTATTTGCCGGTATCCTAACAAGTGGTATCAAGTCTTAGTTCAGCCGGTATAGATCAGCGGGAGGGTACGGATTCCGTGGATATATTTTTGAAAAGAATTATACCACAAAGACGGAGAAAGTTACGACGAGCTTACATTTGGATGCAGTCGCTCGGAAAGACGTTGCAAATCGACTTAGTGAATAAACTAGTAAAGTAGTAACTCGAATAGTTACTATTGACGTTACTGGTTGGCTGCAGCCTATTCACCTTATTTGTACTATTCACGGCATATAGGTACTATTCACGAATATAGTACATTTATGTGTACAGTTACTTAATTCTCGTTATACTATTTACTATATCACATATTACGGTTTTTACATATTCACTCAAAGTCATGAAGCATTAGAACGAGCGCAAAATGATCAGTTCTAAATGGCGCAAAATTACCATATATGCGAGAATAAAATGAGAGGATCTCCTTATAGGTTAACAGATCATCTTGCCCGTGTGTTGGGGTTCAAGCAAACCAGAAGACAAGACTGATGAAAGAATGGGCTTTCGAGCCTATGAAACAAGTTTGTGGTCTATATGCGACAATTTGTCGATTGATAAGGTAATATACCAAACCACATTTGTAATGAGCACTCACGCCAGAACATTTATCGGGACAAGCCTTGAACAGCTATATGCCTCAAAAATCCCACACAACAGCGGCAATCAACAATATTTTAATTTGACGTCAAAATCCGGCAACAACCAATTATTTTATTTGACGAAGTTGATGAATTTCAAATATCAAGAAGGTACTTCTGTAGCAGATCACTTGAGTGAAATGCAGGCGACTATTCACCAGTTGTCAAATGTGGGCATAAAATTTGATGATAAAATCCTCGGCCTTATGGTGCTTGCCTCCTTACCAGAGTCTTGGGAGACTTTGAAGATATCAATAACAAACTCTACACCACATAGTGGAGTTAGCTGGGAATTTGTTAAAAATGTTGTTTTGAATGAAGAAATGAGACGTAAAGCACAGAATCCTTCTTCATCTCAGTCAGACATTTTTTTAGCAGATGCTAACAAAAATAACCAGCCCAGAGGGAGAAGCCAATCTAGAAGTTCAACTACAAGAGATAAGAGCAGGGGTAAATCAAACAAATTTGCCAATATTGTATGCCATTGTGGGAAGAAGGGGCACATTAAAAGGTATTGCCGGAAGTTCAAAAGTGATCAGGAGAAGATCAAAGGCAAAGCAAAGAAAGAAGAAAGCACTGATGATGAAGCCAATGTTATTGCTGAGTTCCAACTTTTCATTGAAGACACTATTAATCTTGCAACCCAGGAGACCGGTTGGATAATTGATAGTGGGGCTACACTTCATGCAACATCTCGGAGAGAAAATTTTTCATCTTACACACCAGACAATCTGGGTGTGGTCAAGACAGCAAACGGCAAATTGTTGAAAGTCGTCGGTAAGGGAGATATTTGCTTGGAGACAGAAAATGGTTCGAGATTAATTCTAAAAGATGTCGTGCATGTACCAGACATGCGTCGATCGTGCATGTACCAGACATGCATTCTTAATTTAATCTCGATTTGGCAGACTTGATTCTTGAAAATTTCTGTAGGCACCTTCAGATGTGTCAGTGGAAACTTCACAAAGGTTCCATGGTGGTAGCTAAATGGAAGGAAAGACCCAAAGCTGTACGGACTGCATGCGAAAGCTCTTTCCCGAGGATGCTTCTTAACTTAGCAGCAGGATGACAGTTTTACAGTTGAATTTTTGGCATACAAACGGTTAGGGCCACATGAAGTGAGAAAGGGAATGACAACTCTGGGTAAAAAACAAAGTGCTATCTGATTGGATAAAGTTCCCATTTAGAAGAACAATGTTCTGATTGTATGGTAGGAAAGCAGAATAGAGTAGCCTTCGAAGAGTTTTTCAGACCTTTCCGATGAAGAATGTGTTAGATGCTGGTACCATTCAGATTCTATGGTTGGACCATTGACGACTATGTGGACCATTGACGATGTCATATGGTGGAAATCGATACTTCGTAACATTTATCGATGACCATTCTAGGAAGACTTGGGTATATACTTTGAAGTCTAAAGATCAAGTTTTAGATGTTTTTAAACAATTTCTAAACTTGGTTGAGAGACAGATAGGCAAAAAGCTAAGATGCATCAGAACAGATAATGGTGGAGAATACACGGGGCCATTTGATGCTTTCTGCAAAGAGCAAGGTATTCGACATCAAGCAACACCTCCCAAGATGCCACAACTGAATGGTTTGGCTGAGAGGATGAACAGAACTTTGATGGAGAGAGTCAGATGTTTACTCTCACATGCAAATTTGTCTAAAAGATTTTGGGGTGAAGCTGAAGCTCTTCTTACAGCGGTTCATCTTATAAAATCGTTCACCTGTGTTTCCTCTTCAGTAATGATACTCTAGAAAAGAGTATGGTCAGGAAAGGATGTTCCTATGATCACTTGCGGGGTTGGTTGCAAAGCATTTTGTGCATATTCCTAAGGATGAGAGGTCAAGCTGATTGGTCAAGACTCAAACAATGTGTATCATTGGCTTATGGTCAGATCAATTTGGCTATAGATTTTTTGATCCAATCCAGAAAAAAAGTATGATTAAGGAAGTAGAGATGCGTGTATTTGTTGAAAAATCAGGACTATTGAAGATGTGAAAAGACTCAAGAAGAAGCAAGCTGCGATAATTCTTGAAGATTGATTCATAGATGCTGCAAATAGTTCCTCCAGCAACAGAAACAAAGACAAGTTGGAGATGAAGAAAATGTTCCACAAGAACAAAAGAGCCCAGAGTTTAGTAAAATCCAGAAGTTTCCTCATCAGAATGGAACTAGAAGAAGATTTTTGATGGTGTTCATGTTCAACGGCCACCAGCACCGGAAGGTTCTTCCAAACATTTAGAGGTCGTAGTAAGTCAGACAACCATCATTAGATAATTCAGCAAATGAATATGTATTTTGATGACTGATGGAGGAGAACCTGAAATGCTTGTAAAGAACAACATGGAAAGTGAACACAAAAGGAACTGGATTGAAGCTATGCGAAAGGATGAAATGAAAATCCTTGCATGAGAACTAAAACATTTGAGCGGTAAAGTTGCCCAAAGGCAAGAAAGCTTTGAGAACCAAGTGGGTGTTCAAAGATTCAAGCAAGGGAAGGAAACACAAACTTTCCCAACCACAAATTCAAAGCTAGAACTGGTTGTGAAAGGATTCAATCAAAGAAAGTGTATTGATTTGATGGATCTTTCCACCAGTTGTAAAAATGACATCCATTTCACCAGTTGTGAAAATGACATCCATTCGGACAGTGCTCGGAATGGCCGCCAATTTTGATCTGGAAATCGAGCAAATGGATGTAAAGATTGCCTTCCTATATGGAGAGTTGGAAGAAGAAATATACATGGAGCAGCCAGAGGGTTTCATAAAAAAGGGGAAAGAAGATTATGTTTGTAAACTGAAGAAGATCCTGTACGGCTTGAAGCAGGTTCCAAGACAGTGGTACAAGAAGTTTGAGTCTGTTATGGGGGAGCAAGATTACAAAAAGACCACTTCAGATCACTGTGTCTTCGTAAAGAAATTCTCGATGACTACATTAATTCTCCTTGCTCTATGTAGATGATATGTTGATTGTTGGTCAGAATTTCTGT